AGGTAGGTTATTTAAAGGTCACATAAACCCTAGGGGGTTAAAATACATAAATCACTAACTGGCATCGTTATAAATGAAACCCCGTCATTAAAACTACTCATTTCGACCTTTAATTGACTTAAATCGACCTTTTTGACAACAGTGCACAATTCTCACCCGCGAACGAAATTTCAACCAATCAGAGCGGCGCGACTCTGTGACGTCATATGAGGAATAGCTTTGAGGGCCGATGCAGAATTCATCTACATTTTAGGGGGTAAATTATCTTGTTTACAGGCTTGTATAAACCTGAAATCGTGACAATTGTTGTGGAAAATGAAAGCTATATGTTTTCACAATCTACTGGCATTTAATTTTGTCTCCTGCTTTTCCTAGTTTCCGAGTTACAACTTGTTTTCATAGACGCTTCTGTCACAATTGATTGGTGTCGTTAGGCCCTATTTGTATAATGACTGATCCAAATTGATCCCATTTCTGTGTTTTTTACCTCGATATTTAATCATGTCATGTAAAAAATCTGTTTGTATTCTCAAAACAGTGTCGGCCCATAAGTTTTCACATGCAATACAGCAATTAATACTCCCTTGTTGTAACCCGTGTTAGGTGGTATAAACCTACACATGTTATTTGTCATCATTCACTTGATGGTCAGTTAATGAATTTATAACAGGTATAATTAGTGGTAACACACTTAGATTACCCGACAAAGGTTCCCATTTGGCATTTCTTGTGTCTGGAGTAAATATTCAACATTATAAACATCGATCAAAGGATTAACCGATAACACGCTGATTGATTAATTACTTTTTATCTTACACAGCGGAATTGTCAAAAGGTAGTGTTTATGTATGTAGATTTACTAATCTATACTGAATACACTCTGCCGTGTCGGTGTCTGCGTAAAACAACGTCCTTCTTCAAAGGATTAACCGGCAATACATTGATTGATTGCCCATTATTGGCTAACTAAATTACTGTTTTTAATGAAAGGCGGACATTATGCAATTAGTTGCCAGGTGTGCTATCTTGGGTGACCAATGAGACTATACACCAATACCTGAAAAGATTTATCACTTTTTCGTATATTAAACTGTTAAAAGACACATCATTTGGAACAGTTTTGTGGATATTGATGGATACATTCCTCAAACAAGGTAATGGCCTGATATTGTTCCTATAACTTTAATCTGTTTTAATTTTAATATTTGCATTTTGTTTTTATTCATTTGTCGTAGCATTCAACAGAATCATTGTTTTCGCCGTGAAGTGTAATGAGACAGACAACATACACTAGGTGTGTGTGCGAATTATGATTCACATTGGCAAACTATAAAATGTCTAGATATTACAGTTCTGTTATAAATTCACTATAAGTATCAGCAGATCGTCAGCTTTTTATTTAGTTTCCAAATGCATAAAAGTATGATAATAAACTAATTAGGATTATAAGACCAAATATAAAGACGCACATTGACTAGTATCTACATACTGGTGAGTGGACATTAACCATGTGAATGTAGCAAGAAATTTATCGCGCAGTATTGTGACTTCGACCCTCACCTCGCTTCCGTGGAAGAAATCGTTATGTTATAAGTTGTGTCATGCAAAATCCTTTTGGTTATGATTCCAATACATATTTAACTACGAGTAGAAAGTAGTTTTGATTTTCTAACTTGATGAAAACAAACTATAATCTCATTAATTCTAACAGACTTTACGATTTTCAAAATGGCGGCGATTCTGTCGGGAACATCCGCCAGTCTGTGGATAAATGCTATTTAGGTTTGTTTTCACCGAGTTACAAAATCAAAACTACTTTCTACTGGTAGTAAAATATGTATTTTATTGATGGCCAATAGGATTTTGCATGACATAGCGTATAACATAACAATTTCTCTCCTGGCAGCGAGGTGGGTGTCAATATAATACTACTTACAATATTATTGTTACTTCGACCACAACCTCACTTCCGAGGAAGAAATCGTTATGTTACAAGTTGTGTTATGGAAAATCTTTATGGTCATCAATCATATACATATTTTACTATAACTAGTAAGTAGTTTTGATTCTTTAACTTCCGTGAAGCGATCTGAACACAAGAAAGATATCGTTTCAGGCTTCCACAACGCTCGCTTCGCACTCACAAACATAACCCATTTAGCACGAACTGCAGGGTCCTGTGGAAATCTGTGCATGGTGACACCATCACCCGACCCCTAGGAGCAATTGACGACAAAGCAACGATTCGGCATGTCGTCGTTCATGTCGAGAAATCATCAAAATGATGAGCGTGCTACACACTTTCTATACAACTAACTGAAAATCGTTCCTCATATGACGTCACTGCAGTGCTCTGGCGACAGAGTTACGTAACCTGTCTGTGGTTTCGTTGGCGGGCGAGAGGGAAGCAGGCGACTTTTTGGCCACTCTTTAATCGCTCGGTATTAATTAACCACAAGTTTTTAGAGAATAAATTTGGTGTTCCGCATAAGACTAACCACAAATCTTTCATATGTAATGGTTAAAAGAGTAACAAAAAACAAAGTTTAGTGGTTCTTTAAGACTCAGTATCCATATATACACAAGACAATTTTTTGTTCTTGTCCAATTATGGGAAGGTATGGTATATACATTTAAAACAATCCCTTTCACCACATGAGTGAGTGAGTTAAAAATTTACATCGCATCGGCAATATTACAGCCATATAGCGATGAAAACAAGGTAACCAATTTAAAATATATGTCGACAAAAGACAGTAAAACCAACTAGATTATCACAGATATATATTTAAAACTAGTAATTAAATCTAAAATACTTTAACTATAGAGATGGATACAATATAAAAAAAGGCTATAGATATAGCAACTGAAGGTAGATAGAGAATACTACACGAGGTCTCATTACATACGAATTATACGAAAACGAGTGTCCTTCCTATGGTATCTGACCGAGCGAAAGCGAGGTCAGATACCATAGGAAGGTCACGAGTTTCGTATAATTCGTATGTAATGAGACCGAGTGTGGTATTTTATTTATTACCCACGTCTTACATGCATTAAATTGACAAAATAGCGTCTTTTTTGTTATTTTTATGGTTTCAAACCGAAACTGGTTTCATAAAGAGGTTGCGGAAGAGTTTGTACTGTAGTACAATATTTGCATGACGACACACTGTAATGACGTCACTGCCTTGGTAACCGACGTCACGATGCAAGTCAGTTGTCATCGCCTCGTACAGCCTCCTACAGTAAACTTGTCCGTAGCACCCCGTTTCTTGGTTTGCAGTTGCTTCATTCGGCTAACATCACTGGTGGAAACATTGCGTTTACGTTTTTCGACGGGTATAATGTCTCAGTTCGGCTCACAATTAAACGGCGACACGGCAACGTTCGCAATGTTTACATTCCCACAATGCATTTAAGTTGTAGAATGAATGAATTCACGTGTTTGTTAAGAATGAACAAATAGTTACGTCAGAATGTGACCTAATTGAGAGGTCATCGGTTATCCAATCAAATCGTTAGAATCTCAGGTCAAGTCGTTACGACACAGGTCAACGCGATACGACACTCGTGTGACGTACGAGATTAGTATGCAACTACCCATACGTTGACCACCATACTAGGGACCATGGACTTGTATATCATGGTCCCTAGTTGGATTTACACCATCCCTTCAGCCGCTGGCGATTGTAGGAAATATTTAGCCAAACTTTAAAAGAACAAAGTTTTAAGAATCTGGTAAGTATAAATTTAGCTTTGAATTCATCACATGAAGGTAGAAATTTATATGTTAAAATATGCACGTATGAAAACACCAGATATAAGGAAATGGGTATATATAATTAAAATTGTTTTTCCTTGTTGGCATGAGTACACTCCACCGTTCAATACGTCCCCTGATTAACAGGGAACGGTCCTACCCAATTGGTGTCGTCACGAAATATAATTAAACGACACTGTGTTTATTTTATTTTATAATTTATTTTTTATATACTACGTCACTGTCAATGTTGTACGACAGCCAGTCGTATCCCCATAGCAACAAAATATACACTTATATATAATTCTTGGTTTTTAAAGGAAATTGATTTGATTCATACATTTTGATCATGTACTGTAAGTAATAAGTTATTTTTAAATTTGGTCGAATGAATACATATCTTTGATTGTCACTGGCTGGACCCTCGGAGGGGGTTGAAGTAGCGTAAAATAATTGTATTCCGAAGAGGGTACTTAGGACCACAGCATTCAATGTATGTTCATCATTGCCAGAATTTTAAACGTAGAATGTTTGTAGTTTTAATTTATGGCTAAATTGCTCAAAATTCGCCAACAGCTGAAGGGATGATGTAAATCCAACTTGGGCCATGCAGGTAGCAAAAGTAATGTAAGTCCCCATGGTCCCTAGCATGGTGATCTGCCTTCAGTTGCTGGCGATCTACAGCCCTATTTGATATTATGTTGTTTTCAAATGATTTAGCATTTTACACTGAACTCAAACTAGTTTTAACTAGTAGTTCTTATACTTTCCTTCGCTGACAGGTTTTTGAAAAGTATATATATATTTATTCTCAGTATTTGACTTTTTGTCGTCACGATATGGCTGGAAATATTGCTGATGTGTCGTAAAATTTTAACTCACTCACTCATGGAACTGGTGTTACATGTATGTGATGCCTTTCTCTGTTGAAATAATGGCGAGTCAGAGATTTCCAGATGCGCAACTGGTCATGCATCCTGCCGTATCTCCTGAAGTCAGACGTCCCTCCATGTCCAGTTCCTTTGACAGGATTTTGGCAGATACAATGGGCATATGCTGTTTCGCCAAAAGTTGTGGAAACACGAGGTTGGTTGTTACCGTGTTGGCTTTGCACATTGGCTACATTTGTGTTTGATATACATGGAACATTCCAACTAGGCTCTGACAAAGCAACCTGTCGGTCATTCATTAGCACCGTTATGATAAAATAGGTTACTAAAAAATAAATAATTCTTTGTAATTAATGATCTTCTTTGTTTACAATCACATTTAAACTATGTCAACCAAAGAAATCTCTTATCCTGTAGCATATCTGCCAAATCCTTCTTGTATCTGCTGTAAAAATTGTCCAGCAAGGCACGGGTCTTTTCAAGCATAGGTCCCGTAAGTATCTTCTTCTTACTGACCCGTTTATGAGGCATGTTAGCAATGGAAGTCATCGACTCTTCGGTATAATCTGAAATACAATGTCGGTTTGAATGAGTAGTCCACAAGTGGGAATATGTGTATAATAGTAAATGAGTTGATCCAGAATGCTGATGTCTCTGGACCATAAAATGAGGATTATGTTATCTTTTCCTTCACAACTCTGCTCCCCTGGGTTACAAGATAAAAATATATTTGTGAAACGGGAACAAAAAGGAACTCACTCAGATTCAGATGGTTGAACACTTTTGTTAGCTGAGCTTTTGGATCTTGATCATGGTCCTCTGTCCGCAATATAAGGAATTGCTCTCTGGGAAAAACCTTCAGCCATTCTCGCATGAACACGGAATAACACCCTAAGAAAATACGTGTCTGTGAAAGAAAAGTACATGTTGTTATCTGAGGTAACGCACATCAGGTCAATCCTTCTTCACCATTTCATTTCGAAGGTTGTACCGGTATGTTTATAAACTCAACAGTGAAAATCGCCATTCAGTTGAAAGAGTCTTAAAGTTAAAAATATGAACACAAGTTCAGAAGTATAATTAACATGAAACTTAACACGTATGATTGCATGTCAAAATATGATGCCAATCGTTGTCAATAAGAAAATCAGCACAACAGATCCAAAGTCAGTATCGCCCGTGACCACTCTTAGCGACTTTTACTTCCTTGCATCTTCTGTACATGGAGAACATTAGTCGGTTGATGAAGGCAATCCGTAGTTGTCGGCCTGGGTCGTACGTCACCTGGTCGCCTTTGAACCTCGTCCAACGTGCATTCTAAGGGGTTTGAAATCTATGGTGAGAGCTGTCGATTTCATGGTTCAGCTGTCATGTGTGAGATGTTTGAGTGGGCACGGGCGTAGTCTTTATGGTAGACGAAGTTATCGACTACACCATTGCCTCTTCATTGAACACCAAAGGGCCAGCATTATGACAGTTGTATTATCCCGTACCATGAGACTTGCGCCATCACACATTCATCTGAATAGCTTCCACATGCCTATGCCAAACTCTGACTCTGTTGCCCGTAATGGAGACACAGTATATCCGAGAAAATGTTTCGTGGCCCACATGTTGCATTAGTTTCTTTTGTTTTATATGTCTTCTAACTCCGTGATCAGCAGCATTCCAGATATATGACGTCACAAATGAACAGTTCCAGATGCTACCATGGGAGACAGCCGAAACGGCCGGCTGATGACATTTCACTGCTGTTCCCGTACTCGATGCCACGGGAATATTTCATTTGAAACCTCCGGCTGACACCGCCGGTTCCAAATAAATTCCCGTACTTCAAATACTCAATAACACCCGGAAATTGTTTTATATGTTTTCTCCGTGATCAGCAGTATTCCAGTTATATGACGGTTGTCTATAAATAATCGATTCTTGATAAGACAATAGAGTTAGTCTCATCATGAGCATTGATTTGACGATGTTATCAAATAAGACAGCGAGCAGGACCACACGGTCCCGTTAGTCGCCTCTTACGACAGACATGGCAAATTCTACCCCAGATCTTCATGGAAACTCTATCGTCTTGATAGTGACGATCTGTGAGAATGGGGTCTTCATACAGGATTAGACAGCGGACAGATGTGCTGATCAAACGTCAATGCAGACATGAAGGAATGTTTCTGAAAATGTTGAGGCAAAATCTGTCGGTCCTGTGCAGCTTCATCACCCAAGGTCGACCACTGGTGCTGTTGCTGACCTGTAGATGGTTCTCACGCGGACAGTAAAAGCATTACCAAGCATTTATGAAGTCTCGCCAGCATGCAGTCTTCCTTAAGCCTGATTTCTAAGTAAAATTTGGCATGGAGTTGGTATGTATTCAAGAATGATTGGTCCATGTGTTAAGGTGCCTTTTATTCAAAAAATTACAACGAAGTTCAAGTCCATTTAGGTACCGACGTCGTTTGCTAAGCTTCATTTAGTTTATTGATAATTGTGTCATTGGCCATGTTTTCTCCCTTAATATTAGATTTGGATAAAGACTAAGGTAAAACAACGAGATACCTTAGTTTTAAAAAGATCCGTTGACATTTCAGAAACGTTCATGAAAAATTTCAAGAAGTGATGTTTCAATTGCGTTAAATTTCTGACGTTGTCACTAGTCAAAAGACATATCTTACCCGAAGTCTTTGTGCTATGTCCAGGCTGTACAGACATTGTTCCACAGTGTGGTTCTTCATGCAGGTCTCCTCGATCTGAATATCTCCACTCACAACGTTATGGAAATCTGCAGCTGAACGTCCACTCCTCATGATGTAGTCAGAATATAACCTGCAATCATATGGCATACACGTGTGAATAAATAATATATAACGCGATTACGGAATTGTTATGAAGTATTTACTTTTGACGTGATGCTGAGGGTTTCAGCTGAAACTAATACTTATTAAATTGACTTGATAAATGCTATGTTTAGAAGTTTACTTTTCACTCAGGCTGCTTTGTTATGTTGTCTTCGGTAGTGCAATATTTATTTATAACTCAAGTGATTGATATTTTCACAAGATTGTTTGCCCTTCAGAATGATAAACGTATGTCCGTACAAGTTATTTCAGTATGTATAGAAGGGAACTGACTGACTGAGTTTGGTTTTACACCTTTTAGCAATATTCCAGCAATAATCGGGGGAACACCAGAAAGGGTAAACAATTGACGCAACGTTTTAGGCTACCCCACCGCCCCGTATAGAAGGGGAATAGGCACCTTCAAAATAGTAATAATCTGAAGGAGGGTAAATAATTGCAGTTTTCAACAAATAACAAAGATAGAATATTGAATTTCTATAAATGTAATATGTCATTAGTAACGAAATACTTGTTTCTACAACTTGTTTTCTATATATTTATCGTATAAATATCATAATTGCATTTTCTCCTTCTGTCACAATACACTTGGATACCCTCGACAGAAAGCCACGTCTGCCTAACTATGCGAACTTCTTATCTACGTCTAAGCTGTTTGTGTACTAATTGAATTAGTTATGAGTGTTACCAGCAACGATTATACACCTGGGGATCACTTGATCAGAAAATTATCAATCCATCGGTCGCAATATTTAGTTTTCATAAAACTAAAATCTCACTTCTGATGCAAACGAGACATTTCAAAGGTGAGGTCCGAATATTAAGCATTCTTTTCTTGCATCATGCCAATCACATTGCTGTCAAAAGGGACCGAAAATTCAACATGAACATATTGATTGGTTTTATAAAAAAAGAACAAAATAAGATTTCTTAGCCTGTATATAGGCCTAAGTGAATGCAGCAAAGAAGTTTCGGGAGAACAGGGACAGAAAATTAAGGACAAGATCAGGTGTGTTGATTTGGATACCTGGGTATTGTTTTCATGACGCCCGCGCCATATTCTGGTCGGACCATGGATGAGTGAGTGAGTGAGTTTAGTTTTACACCACACTCAGCAATATTCCAGCTATATGGCAGCGGTCTGTAAATAATCGAGTCTGGACCAGACAGTCCAGTGATCAACAGCATGAGCATCGATCTGCGCAATTGGGAACCGATGACACGTGTCAACAAAGTCAGCGAGCCTGACCACCCGATCCCGTTAGTCGCCTCTTACGACAAGCATGGGTTACTGAAGATCAATATTCTAACCCGGACCTTATGTCATGAAGAGCCTCCACGTTAATCAAACGACGATTGAGGGAAGACCAAAGGTGGTGGGCTCTATTTTCTGACATACTTCTTCGTGTGAGGGTATCAATGCTCTGAATTTCTTGTTTTGTCCGATAAAGCAACACCAAAAGAATATGAGAGGACGGACCCAGCGTAAGTATTTGTGGCTTTGAATTTGTTTTCTGCCCAAAGTTTGTCCTTTATTAAGATATTCTGGAATTTGTCTCTAACCTGCACCCCTAAGTACGTATTGTCCTAATCTTCCACGATTTGGTAGATAACTCTTCGCTCAATGTTCATTCTTCTATCTTAACAGGCACTTGTTCTACCCCTGGAATATTAGTCACCATCGGTAATCATTACCCACAGGGTCACTTACCATGTATACGATTGTTGCACAACGAAATATACTATAATCCCCAAAAAGACACGCATAGGCGATCTGTATTTTAAAAAATCTATTAATTACCTATTGTGTTCAAACAATCCTCAAAATATGTAACGAAAGTGTTGATTTTACACAATTGCATGATTGTACACAATTGCATAAGTTAAAAATCGATTTTACCTGAAAATGTTGCGTTTGATAAGATTTCTTACAAGGATTAAAAAGGCATCGCCTCAACGCAACAAAAATCACCTTCCAGTTGAAATTTTGCAGCAAAGAGCATGCACTGTCTGGCAATAAAATTCCAGATTACTTTCGGAAATTGGCTTTCGTTTTGAAAGAGTTTCAAGGTCAAATCACCAGGCCACGTCTTGACTCTGCGACACGGAACATCGCCATTGAAAGATTACCAATCTTCTGTTACCAGGCGTCTGAATGTTAGTCTGAGCACGATCGATATCACGGCCTGCAGCTCGTTACAACCAAACAGGTGTAACAAATGACCGTCCCAGCACAGGCAGACCTCGAGTCACCACTGCAGTCCAAGATAGGTACATCCGGGGACTACAATTGCGTGATCGTACTGCCATGGGTTAGAGCACAGCAGCCAGGGTGCCTGGACTTCGGAGGATATCCGGTCAAACTGTACGGAACAGGTTGAGAGAGATTGGTCTGAGACCCAGGAGACCCGACGTCGGGACAGTGCTACGTTGTCACCATCGCGCTCAAAGTCTCCGATACCTAAAAGTATCCACTTGGTTGTATAGACATCACCTTTTTCTAAACTGGTGTAAACATTCATGCACTGAAGCCTATTTGTGGACGAGTTATACATGTTTGAAAATACAACATTTTCGCAACAGATTTCTGGCCTATGCGTTTCTTTTTTGGGATAGCATAAACAAAATAAAAATAAAGAAGTTCCCACCTGTCAGTTGGATTTCTAAAGATGAGGATGAACTTTGGATCTGTATACACGTGCCTCATAAGATGGGGTGTCAGAACCAATGGTTTCTCTAAGCCTGCATTTTGAGGTATTTGGGGCCATGCTCGGAAATCGCTAAAATCTGACGGAGTTCCGTCACCTAGACAAATGAGACAGTGAGTGAATGAATATGCTTTAACGACGCTCAAGTGAGTATTTTAGTTAACATAGTTTACAACTTTATCAATAACAACTTCTTGTTAATAGCGACGTTTCCATGTAGATTCTGATAGTGTTATCAAGCTCATGTGACTTCAACCAAATGACTGACTGTCTGAGTTTGGCTTTACGCCGCTTTTAGCAATATTCCAGCAACATCTCGGCAGGGGACACCAGAAATGGGCTTCACACATTGTACCCATGTGTGAAGCCCATTTCTGGTGTCCCCCGCCGTGATGTTGCTGGAATATTGCTAAAAGCGGCGTAAAACCAAACTCAGTCAATCAGACACCGGCGGGATTCGAACCCGGGTCTGCGGCGTGACGAGCCAACGCTTTAGCCACTAGACTACCCCTGGCCCCTCAACCAAAGGAAGCCTAGATGATTGCACGCGCCACACGCACGCATTCAAATCCATCCATCCATGATATCAGCCACATTCTTCCAAATGCCTAACGGCAGACACCAAACCTCACCCAACGTGGGAAACAAACCATAGATCACTTCCAGGAAGACCCACACATCACGATTGCCCCACTCTACAAGAGACAAACCACAAACCACCTCGATAAGGACACTAACATGCTCTCAGACCACATGAAGTTCATGAAAGCTCCCACTCACCATACCATGTCGACTTAAAGCACCTTTGATGATCACATGTTTTTTTCCACTATGTGAAATATTGTTTTCACATTGTTTTATTTTCACAAATGCTGAGGCCTTTGACATCAAAACCGTTTCCGTGGTGTAGTGGTAAGAGCGTCCGCCAGGGGAGCGGAAGGTCGCGGATTCGATCCCCGGCCACGTCATACCAAAGACGTTAAAATATGGTACTTGTTTGTCCCTGTCTGGCGCTAGGCATTAATGGGTACAACAAGGACAGGTCGGCTCGGAGTCAGCATAATGTGTCAGAATGGGGTATTCATGCTTCACTGCGGCATAGTATCTCTGTGAGCTGGCACTATAAAACCAGCTTAAAACACATACACAAGCATGTACGTCGTCATGTGAGCGAAATGTTCTTAAGTACGACGTTAAACCCCTTTTAACCTCACCTCACCTCACCTGTGACATCAAAGTTCATATGACCTCATAAAGCTTCTACTAGTACACACAGCACTGTTATGCAAGCGGACACGTTTCCATTAAGTCACCAGCTTAAGTCAACTGGTTGTCATGTAGACAAATGTTCGTGGGAGGTTAGTTTTAAGCCGCACTCAGCAATATTCCAGCTATATGGCGGCGGTCTGTAATTAATTGAGTCTGGACCAGACAATCCAGTGAACAACAGCATGAACCGCCATCTACGCAACTGGGATACAATTACATGTGTAAACGAAGTCAGGATTGCTCACCGGTTCCCATTAGTCACCTCTTTCGACAAGCATGGGTTTGCTGAAGGCACATTCTCACCCGTATCTTCACGGTTTCGAACCAAATTAATCCAGAGGAGCATTTTCATTACATTTCCACTACACCGGCGTCCACATTTCATCCGTACAAAGTCTTGACAGAACCCGCAAAACGTGTCAAAACCTTGATCAAAACGTGTGAAATGTGAGGGAACCCATCAGAACGCGACAGGCCGGAATGAAACGTAATGGCATCCATAGTGGAACCGTAGTGCGCCTTTGAGCTTCCGGGACTCAGCAACCCGTTTTCCCAACAGCCCAAATAGAAACATAACTCTCTTCACTTGGCTACAGTCACTTCAGCTTGATAACGGTGAAAGAAACTAAGTAGAAAACGTTGCTCAATGCAATAAACTTGTTATCCATAAAATTTCGCTATTTAGTCATCCACGCCTAGAATGCCGATCAAACAAGAAACATTTTAGCTAAGCCATGTCGTGTCAGGAGAAGAAGTCACGCCGCATGAGTCCCAAATTTCTAGGTCACGTCATAGCGTCCCCACGTGAACGGAAACCACACCCTTGAAAATCCCGTCACGTCATAGCATTCCCACGTGACCGGAACGTCATAGCGTCCCCACGTGAGCCCTACCCTATTTCGTCACAGAAAGTTACTAGTAACGTCATAGCGTCCCCACGTGACCGGACACCCAGCCGTCATCCCAAATCGTGGAAAGTTACCAGTGACGTCATAACATCCCCGCGTGAGCGCAAACCCATTCGTCATGGAATGTTACCCGTCACGTCATAGCGTCCCCACGTGACCGGAAACCATATCCATCCGTTTTTTTATAGGGTATCAATGCGTTCTACTTTTGAAATCGTTTACCATTCAGCTCACAGCATTTGCATCGTTACACGTTCTACTTTTGAAATCGTTTACCATTCAGCTCACAGCATTTGCATCGTTACACGTTCTACTTTTGAAATCGTTTACCATTCAGTTCACAGCAGTTGCATCGTTACACGTTCTACTTTTGAAATCGTTTACCATTCAGCTCACAGCATTTGCATCGTTACACGTTCTACTTTTGAAATCGTTTACCATTCAGCTCACAGCATTTGCATCGTTACACGTTCTACTTTTGAAATCGTTTACCATTCAGCTCACTGCATTTGCATCGTTACACGTTCTACTTTTGAAATCGTTTACCATTCAGCTCACAGCATTTGCATCGTTACACGTTCTACTTTTGAAATCGTTTACAGTTCAGTTTAATTTGTCGGTACCACGGGTAAGTGTGCACGTTATTGTTTGAAATTGTTTTTTAAAAGACTGGGTCGTGTTTACGCTCTTCGCCATCGTATACTATACTATCGCCGGGCAAAAATGTAAACATACACTCGTTGAACTAGTTTTAAATATTCTCGTCAATGAGGCTAATTAGGCCTTCCGCGTAGATCTAGCAGTTCCCACCTGTCAGTTGGATTTCTAAAGATGATGATGAACTTTGGATCTGTATACACGTGCCTCATAAGATGGGGTGTCAGAACCAATGGTTTCTCTAAGCCTGCATTTTGAGGTATTTGGGGCCATGCTCGGAAATCGCTAAAATCTGACGGAGTTCCGTCACCTAGACAAATGAGACAGTGAGTGAATGAATATGCTTTAACGACGCTCAAATGAGTATTTTAGTTAACAAAGTTTACAACTTTATCAATAACAACTTCTTGTTTATAGCGACGTTTCCATGTAGATTCTGATAGTGTTATCAAGCTCATGTGACTTCAACCAAATGACTGACTGTCTGAGTTTGGCTTTACGGCGGGGGACACCAGAAATGGGCTTCACACATTGTACCCATGTGTGAAGCCCATTTCATCCCCATATGTTAACTGGAATATTGCTAAAAGCGGCGTAAAACCAAACTCAGTCAATCAGACACAGGCGGGATTCGAACCCGGGTCTGCGGCGTGACGAGCCAACGCTTTAGCCACTAGACTACCCTGGCCCCTCAACCAAAGGAAGCCTAGATGATTGCGCGCGCCACGCACGCATTCAAATCCATCCATCCATGATATCAGCCACATTCTTCCAAATGCCTAGCGGCAGACACCAAACCTCACCCAACGTGGGAAACAAACCATAGATCACTTCCAGGAAGACCCACACATCACGGTGCCCCACTCTACAAGAGACAAACCACAAACCACCTCGATAAGGACACTAACATGCTCTCAGACCACATGAAGTTCATGAAAGCTCCCACTCACCATACCATGTCGACTTAAAGCACCTTTGATGATCACATGTTTTTTTCCACTATGTGAAATATTGTTTTCACATTGTTTTATTTTCACAAATGCTGAGGCCTTTGACATCAAAACCGTTTCCGTGGTGTAGTGGTAAGAGCGTCCGCCAGGGGAGCGGAAGGTCGCGGATTCGATCCCCGGCCACGTCATACCAAAAGACGTTAAAATATGGTACTTGTTTGTCCCTGTCTGGCGCTAGGCATTAATGGGTACAACAAGGACAGGTCGGCTCGGAGTCAGCATAATGTGTCAGAATGGGGTATTCATGCTTCACTGCGGCATAGTATCTCTGTGAGCTGGCACTATAAAACCAGCTTAAAACACATACACAAGCATGTACGTCGTCATGTGAGCGAAATGTTCTTAAGTACGACGTTAAACCCCTTTTCACCTCACCTCACCTCACCTGTGACATCAAAGTTCATATGACCTCATAAAGCTTCTACTAGTACACACAGCATTGTTATGCAAGCGGGCACGTTTCCATTAAGTCACCAGCTTAAGTCAACTGGTTGTCATGTAGACAAATGTTCGTGGGAGGTTAGTTTTAAGCCGCACTCAGCAATATTCCAGCTATATGGCGGCGGTCTGTAATTAATTGAGTCTGGACCAGACAATCCAGTGAACAACAGCATGAGCATCGATCTGCGCAATTGGGAACCGATGACATGACCACCCGATCCCGTTAGTCGCCTCTTACGACAAGCATGCGTTACTGAAGATCAATATTCTAACCCGGATCTTCACGGGTGGCCTTTCTGGAAAGTCCATAGTTCACAGGAAAGCCATCCACTACGTACATTCACGTAAATTCTAACCATGCCCCTAAGACGTAGCCTGGCGTCATTTCAACTCCAAACAAACAACTACGGACCATCTGTCCAAGCAGCAATGACCTTGTTAATGAACATGAATCCAGTATCCAACCAAGTTAGTTCGGTTGTTTTGTTGGTTAACTGAGTGAGTGAGTGAGTGAGTTTTATGCCGCACTCAGCAATATTCCAGCCATATGGCGGCTGTCTGTAAATAATCGAGTCTGGACCAGACAATCCAGTGATCAACATCATGAACAGCCATCTACGCAACTGGGATACAATTACATGTGTAAACGAAGTCAGGATTGCTTACCATTCAGCTCACAGCATTTGCATCGTTACACGTTCTACTTTTGAAATCGTTTACCATTCAGCTCACAGCATTTGCATCGTTACACGTTCTACTTTTGAAATCGTTTACCATTCAGTTCACAGCAGTTGCATCGTTACACGTTCTACTTTTGAAATCGTTTACCATTCAGCTCACAGCATTTGCATCGTTACACGTTCTACTTTTGAAATCGTTTACCATTCAGCTCACTGCATTTGCATCGTTACACGTTCTACTTTTGAAATCGTTTACCATTCAGCTCACAGCATTTGCATCGTTACACGTTCTACTTTTGAAATCGTTTACAGTTCAGTTTAATTTGTCGGTACCACGGGTAAGTGTGCACGTTATTGTTTGAAATTGTTTTTTAAAAGACTGGGTCGTGTTTACGCTCTTCGCCATCGTATACTATACTATCGCCGGGCAAAAATGTAAACATACACTCGTTGAACTAGTTTTAAATATTCTCGTCAATGAGGCTAATTAGGCCTTCCGCGTAGATCTAGCAGTTCCCACCTGTCAGTTGGATTTCTAAAGATGATGATGAACTTTGGATCTGTATACACGTGCCTCATAAGATGGGGTGTCAGAACCAATGGTTTCTCTAAGCCTGCATTTTGAGGTATTTGGGGCCATGCTCGGAAATCGCTAAAATCTGACGGAGTTCCGTCAACTAGACAAATGAGACAGTGAGTGAATGAATATGCTTTAACGACGCTCAAATGAGTATTTTAGTTAACAAAGTTTACAACTTTATCAATAACAACTTCTTGTTTATAGCGACGTTTCCATGTAGATTCTGATAGTGTTATCAAGCTCATGTGACTTCAACCAAATGACTGACTGTCTGAGTTTGGCTTTACGGCGGGGACACCAGAAATGGGCTTCACATTGTACCCATGTGTGAAGCCCATTTCTGGTGTCCCCCGCCGTGATGTTGCTGGAATATTGCTAAAAGCGGCGTAAAACCAAACTCAGTCAATCAGACACCGGCGGGATTCGAACCCGGGTCTGCGGCGTGACGAGCCAACGCTTTAGCCACTAGACTACCCCTGGCCCTCAACCAAAGGAAGCCTAGATGATTGCCGCGCACCACTGCGCACACATTCAAATCCATCCATCCATGATATCAGCCACATTCTTCCAAATGCCTAACGGCAGACACCAAACCTCACCCAACGTAAGGGGAAACAAACCATAGATCACTTCCAGGAAGACCCACACATCACGATTGCCCCACTCTACAAGAGACAAACCACAAACCACCTCGATAAGGACACTAACATGCTCTCAGACCACATGAAGTTCATGAAAGCTCCCACTCACCATACCATGTCGACTTAAAGCACCTTTGATGATCACATGTTTTTTTCCACTATGTGAAATATTGTTTTCACATTGTTTTATTTTCACAAATGCTGAGGCCTTTGACATCAAAACCGTTTCCGTGGTGTAGTGGTAAGAGCGTCCGCCAGGGGAGCGGAAGGTCGCGGATTCGATCCCCGGCCACGTCATACCAAAAGACGTTAAAATATGGTACTTGTTTGTCCCTGTCTGGCGCTAGGCATTAATGGGTACAACAAGGACAGGTCGGCTCGGAGTCAGCATAATGTGTCAGAATGGGGTATTCATGCTTCACTGCGGCATAGTATCTCTGTGAGCTGGCACTATAAAACCAGCTTAAAACACATACACAAGCATGTACGTCGTCATGTGAGCGAAATGTTCTTAAGTACGACGTTAAACCCTTTTCACCTCACCTCACCTCACCTGTGACATCAAAGTTCATATGACCTCATAAAGCTTCTACTAGTACACACAGCATTGTTATGCAAGCGGACGCGTTTCCATTAAGTCACCAGCTTAAGTCAACTGGTTGTCATGTAGACAAATGTTCGTGGAGGTTAGTTTTAAGCCGCACTCAGCAATATTCCAGCTATATGGCGGCGGTCTGTAATTAATTGAGTCTGGACCAGACAATCCAGTGAACAACAGCATGAGCATCGATCTGCGCATTGGGAACCGATGACATGACCACCCGATCCCGTTAGTAAGCCTCTTACGACAAGCATGCGTTACTGAAGATCAATATTCTAACCCGGATCTTCACGGGTGGCCTTTCTGGAAAGTCCATAGTTCACAGGAAAGCCATCCACTACGTACATTCACGTAAATTCTAACCATGCCCCTAAGACGTAGCCTGGCGTCATTTCAACTCCAAACAAACAACTACGGACCATCTGTCCAAGCAGCAATGACCTTGTTAATGAACATGAATCCAGTATCCAACCAAGTTAGTTCGGTTGTTTTGTTGGTTAACTGAGTGAGTGAGTGAGTGAGTTTTATGCCGCACTCAGCAATATTCCAGCCATATGGCGGCTGTCTGTAAATAATCGAGTCTGGACCAGACAATCCAGTGATCAACATCATGAACAGCCATCTACGCAACTGGGATACAATTACATGTGTAAACGAAGTCAGGATTGCTCACCGGTTCCCATTAGTCACCTCTTTCGACAAGCATGGGTTTGCTGAAGGCACATTCTCACCCGTATCTTCACGGTTTCGAACCAAATTAATCCAGAGGAGCATTTTCATTACATTTCCACTACACCGGCGTCCACATTTCATCCGTACAAAGTCTTGACAGAACCCGCAAAACGTGTCAAAACCTTGATCAAAACGTGTGAAATGTGAGGGAACCCATCAGAACGCGACAGGCCGGAATGAAACGTAATGGCATCCATAGTGGAACCGTAGTGCGCCTTTGAGCTTCCGGGACTCAGCAACCCGTTTTTTCCCAACAGCCCAAATAGAAACATAACTCTCTTCACTTGGCTACAGTCACTTCAGCTTGATAACGGTGAAAGAAACTAAGTAGAAAACGTTGCTCAATGCAATAAACTTGTTATCCATAAAATTTCGCTATTTAGTCATCCACGCCTAGAATGCCGATCAAACAAGAAACATTTTAGCTAAGCCATGTCGTGTCAGGAGAAGAAGTCACGCCGCATGAGTCCCAAATTTCTAGGTCACGTCATAGCGTCCCCACGTGAACGGAAACCACACCCCTTGAAAATCCCGTCACGTCATAGCATTCCCACGTGACCGGAACGTCATAGCGTCCCCACGTGAGCCCTACCCCCTATTTCGTCACAGAAAGTTACTAGTAACGTCATAGCGTCCCCACGTGACCGGACACCCAGCCGTCATCCCAAATCGTGGAAAGTTACCAGTGACGTCATAACATCCCCGCGTGAGCGCAAACCCATTCGTCATGGAATGTTACCCGTCACGTCATAGCGTCCCCACGTGACCGGAAACCATATCCATCCGTTTTTTTATAGGGTATCAATGCGTTCTACTTTTGAAATCGTTTACCATTCAGTTCACAGCAGTTGCATCGTTACACGTTCTACTTTTGAAATCGTTTACCATTCAGCTCACAGCATTTGCATCGTTACACGTTTTACTTTTGAAATCGTTTACCATTCAGCTCACAGCATTTGCATCGTTACACGTTCTACTTTTGAAATCGTTTACCATTCAGCTCACAGCATTTGCATCGTTACACGTTCTACTTTTGAAATCGTTTACCATTCAGCTCACAGCATTTGCATCGTTACACGTTCTACTTTTGAAATCGTTTACAGTTCAGTTTAATTTGTCGGTACCACGGGTAAGTGTGCACGTTATTGTTTGAAATTGTTTTTTAAAAGACTGGGTCGTGTTTACGCTCTTCGCCATCGTATACTATACTATCGCCGGGCAAAAATGTAAACATACACTCGTTGAACTAGTTTTAAATATTCTCGTCAATGAGGCTAATTAGGCCTTCCGCGTAGATCTAGCAGCGCTTTAACCCCCTCGCTGCCATATAGAAATAACACATGTCTCATGATAGCAGTGCAGAGGGGGTGAAATATGACAAGCTGTATTGACAAACAGTAAGTGTTTCTACTTTAAATATATAAGCGAATCCATTAGCCAAAAATGTCAATTACAAGTGCACAGGTATAACGGCGCATTCACAGTGCGTAATAGTGAGGACATTGCATTTCCTGCCGTGGGTTACAATACCAAAACAATACACGTTATCACCTTAACCAAATGGATCGTAGGCATAGATGATAGTGTTCGACGACACTGTCGGTGTCCCTTGATTTTTCACTACACGTACATCTATATTCAAATGTAATCATGCTCCAGAATAATCCTACCTCCAGAATCCATGAAAAACACGTTGTAAATTCCACATAAAATCCGACGTACATTAAGCTTATACTATAACCTCATGCTTTTGTGACACAAGACAATCGTTTATTGTATTTTAGGCCACCGGCCCTTATACAAGCGAGTTACATACATTAGGACATGGTTAACTGTAAGTGCTCGTTACCACGAATAAATGCATATTTAACATAGAGAGCTGGATTGCGTAGGGTGGATTCATTATTAGTTGTTAATAAACTGGTAAAAGCTATCAGTGGTGGTTCCGACAGATAACGTGCTGGGATATACATGCAACGTAAATCTTCATAAACTGGACAGTCAAGGGTAAAATGTAGTTCATCTTCTACCGAAGAATTACATAAAGGACAAGATCTTTCAGATTTTGGGACGGACAGTTTTCTGCCTCTATTTACCATTAAGTCCAGCAAACCTATCATATATTTGACAAATATATTTCTGTTACACTTAAAATTAAGTTTAGATAAATACAGTTCAGGTTGTAATAGAGTTTTAAATGTTCTAATTCGTAACGAGAGCTACTTTTCAGAGTGAAATGCCATTCCTGATAAAACATATTTACCGCTCGATCACGAAATTCTCTTAAAAACATAAAGACAACGCCAACACCCTGGCTTATCCATACCAATCCATATCCATGAGAAAACAAAAGATTTCTAATATGTGATGCCCAGGATATTATACCCACATTATCTAGATGAACCATCATATGATACGATATTCTTAGTAGACGACTTTCATGCATAATCAGAATCTTAAACCAATATTTAAGGCATCGTATTTGTGAATTAATATACATGTACATAGGATATCTCCCGCATTCGCCGTAAACCATACGATTTGGATTAGCGGATCCAACACATAGAAACTCCTTGCAAGCAATAAGATGTAATCGTAGCGTTGAAATCCGCACACTTCCGATCCATATAATAAAATAGGTTGTATCTGGGCAGTTTGAAAAATATATTTGAAGTTAAAATTCTCATTCATGTGAGAAAGATAAAATTGAACTTTTGAAACTCATCGTATGTGAAAAAATTATTCCGAGATACATGTATATATATTGATTAACAATAGCAACAGATTTTCCGTGAAGAAACCATTTCTCCTTAGATGCAACAGCGCCACCCCTTCTGAATATGACTATGTTAGTTTTGTCTAAATTTACGGATAGTTTCCAGTTTTCAGAACAACTTTCAAGAATATTTAGCTGATTTTGCAAACCAATAATAGTTTCAGATATCAAAATGACATCGTCTGCAAATAGAAGCATAAACAGTTCTATCATATATGGGAACATTTGTACACCACGTTTACCCTTTTGCATAACATCATAATAAAATTCGTTTATGAACAGTTAGTATTTTGTCAAGTCACCATGGGCAGCAATGCAGGCTTCAATGCGGCGGGGCATACTACTGATCAAAGAAGTTAGAAAGTCGTGGTCCATGCTGTCCCAATATCGGACCACCTCTTCTTTCATTTCAGCAATTTTTGTCAGATTTTTCTTATTGACACTTTCCTTCATAAGTCCAAAACATGTTCTATTGGATTTTGGTCAGGGCTATAGCTTGGCCTATTGCTTGGCCAATCTAATAATGTGATATTTTGGGTCCGAAACCAGGCCTGTGAATGCTTTGAACGATGTTTTAGGTCGTTGTCCTGCTGGAAAATCCAAACATTTCCATAGAACACGTGAGCAGATGGAAGTAAATGTCCCTCGAGAATATCTGTGTACCGCTCACTGTTCATCTTCCCTTCAAATACACAGAGGGGCGTTGCCCCTAACACAGATATGCCACCCCACACGTTAAATTTCGGACTTTACTTTGGGCTCTGATACAAAGGTTTTTCAGTTTGTTTGCTCCAGAATTTCAGTGTATTAGGAAACAGCCACACAGAACTTTCAGCTGAGAAAATCACATTGTCCCAGTTAAAATTTCTATGCTGTAAGCACCAGTTCAACCTTCGCTCCTTTTGTTCAGGTTTCATGATCGGAGATGGAATTCCTCGACTTTTCTGCAAACCCATTGCATGCAGTTCAGTTCTAATTGTCTCCTTACAGACAGCCACAGTTCCTCTATCAATCATATCCAGCCTTAAGTTTTCTAAACTCCTTCGTTTGTTTTTAGAAACAAGAATACCAAGCCGCCTCCTGTCACCGACAGTCAATTTTCTGGGCCTACCTGCGCCTCCCTGGTGCTCAATGCCATATCCATTTGCAATATTTTTCAAAACACGATAAACAGTGGACAAAGGGATGCCTGTTCTACGTGAAATCACTTTAGCTGATCTGATGTCCTTGTTATAATACTCTAAAATCGACTTCCTCTTCTCTAAATCATCCATACTGAGGATCTCTGAAAATGTCGTCTGCTAGCAAGTAAACAAAGGGGGATAACTATTCACAAACTAATGAAAATGGATTAACGGAGTTGTCTCTCTTGAATGAAACCAAGTACTTGATAGCTGGTCAAGGTTGTTTATACTAGAATCCAATTAAACATATTCCTAAAATTCTCAATAATTTCTGGTCATTTTTTATATAACTTCTGGCACGTTTGTCATCGTCATCCTCTTCCCACGGAGTGATGACTGTAAATGATGAGTGCATGCAAACACTGCACTATACATAGACACCCAGCGCAAATATACTCTAATATTGATGTATTACCAATAACAGATTGAGTTTGACAAATGAAAAATATACAGTATTTTACGATGAACATCACACTCTTAGTTACAATGTTAATCCACATGACTACCCCAGCGGGCCATTTCTTTCTGAGGTACTCCCACCAGGGTCAAATACGGACAGTCTAGAGACCATATTTCACGTCGGACCCAAGGATCACCATCTACTTCCGAGTTCTTGAGAACGAGACCACATGAAAACACTTGCAAGCGTCCCCTCCGATTAAGTACACAATTCCTGCCTGGGCCATTTGACTAGGACTCTGTTTCATCTGCACAGGCCAAGACTGAAAGGAAGTCAACCGTTCTTGGAACCTTGTTTGAGTTTTAATCAGAGGAGAGTTACTGTCCATACACATGTCTTGGTGTCCACATACATCACCTCCCAAATGACAACGGGGATCCTGTAACTCTGTCAGTTGCTTGTGAGTCGAGTGTGGCGTCTGAAGACCCAAAAATGTCATGGCTTCTCTCTTTCTCTGCATTCCTCCAAGGCTTTACAGAAGAGGGCATAAGCTCCAGGTCCTCGTCTGGGAAGGATATCTAATAAGGCTCTATACGGTCATAAGATGTCACCTCTTTCTCCATGATATCCGCCTTCATAAACTTTGTTAAAGTGTTTTCTTTTACCAAGACATCCACTACAGCACACACGCTGTTGATACATTCCACAAGATTAGAGCGACTCTTTCTCAAGATCTCCTTGTGTAGTGAATCCATGTTGAGGCCCTATATCAAAGCTCTTCTTTCATTCGAAGTATGAACTGAGAATGAATTCCACTGTTTGGGGGTTTATATTGCAAATCTTTTTCTATAAATAGTATTTGAGTCATGACGGATGGAGGTGGTGTCCGGTCACGTGGACACGCTATGACATCATATGTCTGTTGTTTGACGTCATGGAATTTTCCAAATGTATACCTCATTATGGGATGATTTTGCCCTTACCAACTGTCGCAGTTTTCAGTCAAGTGAGGACGGTATTTGACGTCATGGGATTTTCCAAATGTATACCAGTTCCCCAAATGTCTTTTCCGTGTTTTTCAGAGTTTCCGTGTACCAAGACACCTATTGCATCAAAAACATTCAGCGAGGTCTTCGCAATGTTCGCAGTTGTGAGGTGGACGTTCTCGCCAAATCGTCAGCACTGATTCACCCTTTATCTCGTAAGCAGTACTGTGTTTCGATTGATCTCAACCTTGCTCCTCGAGTCCACATTGAAATGCATATTTGCCTTCATTCCGGTCATCTTTAGTGCTAAAACATAAAATTTTGACTCGACCGTTGGCACTGATGTCTATTTCATCACATATCTCGGGGCAAAATATAAGCCTATGTAACAAAAAATCCTGCATTAACCAAAGAACGTTTATCTAGTTCAGTCTACAGATATCTCTGGCCTATTTTGTAGAGCCAGTTATTTTCTTAAAAATGTTTACCTTGCACATGTCAGGTGTATCGTAAAGGTCTTCTAAATTCGAACTAGCGTAGTCCTCATCACCCCAGACGTGGACGATGAACAGAATACGTGAGGCAGCGTCGGACAGCAACTCCCCTTCCTTTCGGTGTTTCTCTAAGATTTCTATTAAATCCTTTCTGTTGTCCTTTATACTAGTCATCTCGATGAGTGAGTGAGTGAGTTTAGGTTTATGCCGCACTCAGCAATATTTCAGCTATATGGTGACGGTCTGTAAATAATCGAGTCTGGACCAGACAATCCAGTGATCAACAGCATGAGCATCGATCTGCGCAATTGGGAACCGATGACATGTGTCAACCAAGTCAGCGAGCCAGACCACCCGATCCCGTTAGTCAACTCTTACGACAAGCATAGCCGCCTTTTGTGGCAAGCATGGGTTGCTGAAGACCAATTCTACCCCGGATCTTCACGGGCCTAGGCATCTCGATGAGCACACTTCTAAGGGTCTACAAAGGGTTCGGACGATACAAATCCTGTCAGCTGAATGTTATACGATTTAAAGAATAGAACGTATTTATACCCTATCTAACAACGGATGGATAGGGTTTCCGCTCCAGTGGGGACGCTATGATGTGACGGGTAAAATTCCATGACGTACAGGGGGTTGTGGGGCTTCCGGTCACGTGCGGACACTATGACGTTCCAGTCACGTGGGGACGCTATGACGTCGCGGGATTTTTCCGAGTGCGGTCGGGCTTCCGATCACGTGGGGACGCTATGACGTGCCCTAGCAATTTGGGACTCATGCGGCGTGACTTCTTCTGTCAGGAAGCACGTCTTTTGCGTTGACCTATAGTAAGTTTAAAGGCACAAAATCGATGGAAATAGGGTTTCCCCTGCATGGATAAAATGGTTTTATACATTATTTTGCATTCCTTGTCAAATTCCTGGTTCAGACGAATTTTCAAATTGTCAAATGATTTATAGAATGTATATTCATCACGTCTACTACCTGTAATCATGTTGTGGTAGCCTGTTTCTGTAGTTGTCTCTTCAATCCGTGGTGTGGCTTCAGCAAACATATCTTGAAAGCAGCTGAAGTTGCACGGTGTCCTTCTTTTCATGGAAAATTCATAACCTGTGAAAATACTCTAGTGGTACATGTTAAACAATTACATGTTTCTGCTGCAGTAAAATATTGTCGTTATAATGAGTGAGTGAGTTTTACGCCGCACTCAAGCTATATTCCAGCTATAATCAAGTCTGGACCAGACAATCCTGTGATCAACAGCATGAGCATCAATCTACGCAATTGGGATATGATGACATGTGGCAACCAAGTCAGCGAGCCGACAAGCATGGGTTGTTGAAGTCCAATTCTAATTCGGATCTTCACTGGTTCATCAGTACATGTATTTTGGTCCCCTTCTCCTGGTTGTTACCAATTCAAACCCGGATCTTCACGGGTTTGTCGTTACAAAACATGCTCTGCTGCATTATATGTGGGGTGCAATTCTTGTTTTCCCCTGCGTACTGGTGTCTGTCCAATTCAGACTGACAGGGGCGGAGGGGTAGCCTAGTGGTTAAGGCTTTCGCTCGTCACGCAGAAGATCCGGGTTCGATTCCCCACATGGGCACAATGTGTGAAGCCCATTTCTGGTGTTCCCCGCCGTGATATTGCTTGAATATTGCTAACTGCGGCGTAAAACTAAACTCACTCACTCACTCAGACTGACACGCGGCCAGACATTTTGACACATCTTACTGATGTCCTCTAAAAGAATATGGCGATACCAGAACCGTAATATACACATTGGAAAGAGTAACGTAACACCTGTGATTTGTAAACCCCGATATAGCCATTTAAATTCATAATTATCTGTTTGATTGGCATAATTATGTCTGCATACTTATTTTCACCCTTTGGGCGCACCATACATTAATTTGAGACAAGAACGCTCCACGATCAAGTAGCATCACGTGCCATACGTCACAGCAAAAATAACAAGGTTTGCAGATTTCCGGAAACCTACATGAAACTGGGTAATGCCAGAATCATGTAGGTATCCGCTCACGGAAACTATGATTGTTTGTTTCCGGCAGTTTCCTGTTGCTGAAACTAACACGGTTAGTTTCAGCGACTGAAAACTGTCGGAAACAAACAAGGTTAGTTTCCAGAAATGGAAACTGACAGTAAAGTATCATTTTTAGTTTCCATTGCATAAAGCAACTGGAAACCATCATTGATGGTTTCTATTAGTGAGAACTTGAATGAAACGATCGTAGAAAAATAAATTTGACTCCATATGCATATATCCAGAAACCTAAATTAACCTACGTTAAACTGCCTATGTATTATATAGGTTTTAGTTTCGTGATGCCAGTGTTTCTGTACATCAGAATTCAAATAAAGGATATTGCCACATAAAATAACTTAATTTCAGGAAAAGGGAAACTTAATTGAAAGAATATGGAACCTGAGGAATCTTCACGTTTTGTTTGGTAAACTTAAGGAAAACTTAAATTTATAAGAGATTTGATGGTACATTTAAAAGCTATTTAAGCAGTGTAAATCAAATATAGTTTGTAATGACCACAAAAATAGCGGATGATTTGGCCTATTTTCAGTGTACCATGGTTTCCCTTTTGTTTTTTGTGTGAACCATATGTTATCGATTTTATTCGTTTGATTAATTTGTCACAGATACCTGTGGTGTCTGCAAATTTGGTAGTTGCGAATGAGATTACAATACAGTCATTGAAGACAGCTGTGTTTATCCACAGTTAACTAGAATATCTATGATAAACATTAGCCAAGTATTTTGAGATAGGTTTCTGTCATAATCTAGTTTCACATAGTATTAATATTTTTACCTCATAATCCGAGCATAATTAATTATTATTATATTTATATGCGCTTTGAAACCTCATAAAGAATTGCACGATCTGTTTTAGTGAATTTATGAAATGACTAGATAAAATTTCTAGATATGTTATAGAGTACCTAAAATATAAGTGAATCATATTTCACACACATTTGTCTGTCTCGCCTAGAAGAACTTCACAGCGAAATATTTGAAAATACAGATAACAAACTAACGTTATAGCAAAACTATTAGGCTATTACCTTGTGGGTTGTAGTCAAAAGGGCCAAAGGACAAACAGGCCAAAATTGAAAAAGTCAAAAGGGCCAAAGGGCCAAAGGAAAGTCAAAAGGGCCATAGGCTTAAGTCAAAAGGGCCATAGGTTAAAAGAGAACATGCAAACTAATATATATTGTATATGTTTTATTATATTAATATTTATTATTATTATTTGTATCCATATGTAAATAGTAACAAAAGTAATAATTTATAGTGTGACCATGATACACTCGATAGTTGATATTTGAATAAATATTTATGTAATCATTACACAAACAGTTGTATGGTTGACTATACTCATAACATAAACACTTTTAAAACCACTACTGTTAATCTTGTTTTGATTACTGACTACTTGTAATCATTACACAAACAGTTGTATGGTAAAAAGTAAACAATTAACCACTCTGAGATTTTTTAAATAAACAACACTGAGACACTCTGATATGTTTAGAATGTTTAGGATTAGAACTACTGCAACAACATGTAGTGAATTTCTGTTAATCTTACTATTTCTAAAAGTTTGGCCCTTTTGACTTAAGTCTATGGCCCTTTTGACTTTTCTTTGGCCCTTTTGACTTTTTCAATTTTGGCCCTTTTGGCCTTTGGCCCTTTTGGCCTGTTCCCTTACCTTGTTCGAGGAATGTATCCATCAATATCCACAAAAAGGAACGATATGCCATTCATCTGTAGCTGACAAAAAACTGTTCCATGTCGCGTGACTTTGTTTCAGTTTTTTTTCACATTTTCACTAATTATACCTGTTATAAATTCATTAATTTGACCATGAATTGAATGAAGACAAATAAACATGGATTTATGCCATTTGATAAGTTAAAGATAAAATACAAAATAAGAGGGACACTATTAGACTATAACTATCTACTTCACATCTTACCTGATATTTGGAAAAATGTTATTAAAAGGACAAGAATCATTCCTTCCTACAATTTATACATCAATGTTTACCAAAGAAATATGTTAAAGCTCTCCAAAGTTTCAAAAATATTTTATGACAAGCTGATTTCTAAAAATGATAAACTTGAAATTTGTGCTAAATGGGAAATTATATTCAATGATTGTGAGTTTGATTGGTACAAAAAATTTAACTTTTATAGACATGGATTGAAAGACGTTAAACTTCTTGATTTTCAATACAGATTTTTGCAAAGAGTTATTTATACTAATTATCGAGAATGAACCTGACTGACAATGATTTGTGTAGTTTTTGCAATGATGTTTCTGAGAGCATTTGTCATGTTTATTGGGAATGCTGTGAAAGCATGAAATTCTGGAATGATCTAGAACTCTGGATTAATAACTATTTACCACGAAAAATAAACATCACAAAATATTTGATTTGGTTTGGTCCATTGCATAATGATGTATTATTAAATCAAATCATTATCTCTGCCAAAAAACATATCAATCTATGTAATATAAAAAAATCAATTCTAAAATTCAGTAATTATAAAAAGGTATTAAAAGAGATAGTTTTTGTAGAAAAACTTATTTCAAAGAGAAACAATGAAATCGAAAAATTCAATCTTAAATGGAATTCGCTCATCCCAATATTCAACAACTAATTATAATTACATATCTACAGCAATGTATCTTCACCTTTTCTGTGCTTGTTGCTACCATATACCCTTGTTATTGACTTTGTAACCATGGGAACAAATAAAAAAAAAATAAACAGGTGTAGGTTTATATCACCAAACACGGGTTACAGCAATGGAGTAGTGATCGCTGCATTGCATACAATTTTAATTGCCTAAAACACTAAGGGGTCGACGCTGTTGCGGATATGAACAAATCATTGTTGCATAAGAAATGCAGCATTTGCTGTGTACTAAAGTTAAAAAGTGTGTATACCTAAATACCAATTTATTGCAAGTAAATCTTGCAATGGCAAAGCGAGGATGGTTTACTTTACGGATTCCAATATATCAAATGCGTGGTTTTAATATAACAGGTCATCAGACATCACGTTGTTTCTTGTAAAAAACACAGACATTGGATCGGTCATCATACCATCGACGCATCAGAAAATCTGAAAAAGCTTACACTGCTGCAATACTATATTACAATCAGACTAGAACTACATCCACCGTTCTTATTGTTTCATTGATTAGGTTGAAGAATTTTGCCAAGGTAGACAGCTGCCAAGTCCCTGTGTCCGTCCTGGTCGATGGAGCAGGTGCTGTATACCTGGCAGCCAGACCACGTAGGAATGAATAAGGCCCCGCGAGATGTCATTGTAAAAACAAACAATTTACATAAAAACATATTGCTGCTATCAGTGTTTTTCTAAAACTGTGAAGGGTAAGCAGACTATTGGCATGTTTAATAGAATTTAAAAAAATAATTGAGCACCCATAAGTCTTTGTTTGAAATGCTGCCATCTTTGTTCAAACGTACAAGCACGAGATTGGAAAAACTTCGTAATTGTTTTTGAAGTAAGTTCTATGAGAGTAAGGTAGTACACACCATGGTAAACAACCTGCTCGATGACACCGCCACGTACAAGATGATCAAGAAGGATCCTACTACTAAGCTGAATCATCAGCACAAATCCACCCTAAAAATCCTGCACGATAAATTTGAACTCTCTACAGATCTGTATCGCAAACTATCAGTATCCCATCCTCAGCCACCCTATGCCCGAGCAACTGTCAAGATCCATAAGAATCCTGTGAAAACTCGTCTACTAGTCTGCTCCCGTGATACGGTGTTTTACAATACTGCCCAGCACCTTACCCAGGTACTCTCTCCTTTAGGTAAATCTGCCAACTCCTTCATCAACGACTCAACAGACTTCTGAAGCAAGATCCATGACATCTCCAATCCAGGTCCCATCATCAGCTACGATGTTGTGGACCTATTTACTAATGTACCTAGAGAAGAAGCGCTCCAAGCCTTACGCCACAGAATTGATAAACTTCAACAATCCCTCAACACCAGCCTCTCAACCGACTCCATCATCAGTCTCACC